GTGACGCTCTCGCCATTGCCCCAACAAACCACTGACCTCTCGTGTATTGTTTTCACACAGATTCACACACCAACACAGATCACGCAATAGGTGCAGATCCCACAGAGCGCTAATGATAATCCGAATCCAACATACATACGCACACGCCCACACATACACGGAAACTTGCGCACTTGACCCCGTTTTTGGGTCAACCTTGAACGCCGCGATTTTCACCTCAAAGCTTGTTTTCGAGAAACCGATTAAACTGACTTGACAAAAACCTTCCAAGAAGGTCGAAACGTTGTCATCGAAATCTTGTGTTTTGGTACTCACGTTGTGGCTAAAACAAACCTGATTCAATTGTTAAATGTGTTATTCGTCAAGTTTTTTAATCAATGGATTCTATAGTTTATTTGTTTCTAATATTGCGGCAGAAATGGCAGTGTTCATGATATCTCCGATTTCCATCCCCTCGATATTAGCCCAATTTTTGTACGTTTTCCCACTGTTTCAAATGAATCCGCCCATCTGTACACTGGCTGTTGGGAACACTGATGCGAGATAGAACAAAAGCATGTTATTTAGACCAGGTATAACGCAATTAAACGGCGAATTTCTGTCTAAGAGTAGGAATTGGTTAACCCTAACATGTATGTTCTAGAAGTTTAGCGCCCCGATTCCGTGTTGATAGTTCCTATATTTTATCGATTGAATTCCATGATTTACGATTCATAGCCTTGTACTGTTTAATCTTGGACTAGTTTACGGTACTTTGATTCAATGATTATTACTGTCGATATCAGTGAACAAGGCGCGGGCCGTTATCAGTCGATCTTTTACCAGATGATAATTATGTTACTTGACAAAGTAAAAGACTTCAGTTGAACTCCTACTTTGTGCGGTTTAAACCCGTGAATCCTTTTGAAGACCTATTTTCGGATCTGTTCTGTGATTTTCTCTTACCATCTCGTAAATATTGGTGGTATATTAAAAATGCATTTTATGATCATCGGATTCCGTTGAGCTTTCATCTACGACGCACACGATGTAATATAACAACAGTATAATTCATCACAATAAAGAGCCAATGTATACATTGTTCTTTTGACCATACATAAATGTTGAACGTTTTTTGTCTGTTATCAGGCGCGTTTGGGTCTGCAAAATCTAAAAGCGAATTTCCCCTGTCATTCCTCATTCCGGGAGCATAAGTTGAAGACGTTCGATTTTGAACAGTTTTCAATGGCATTCGCTTCCTACGTATTCCAACATTCAAAATATGACCTCCTCTCGCCTTCTCTGACCAGCTTGGATGATAATGAGAATCTAATGAGTTCAGTACATCCTAACGCTGGTTGTCTCAGACATACACAATCCTTGTACATACATCGTGGAGATTGGTTGGAGCGATCCCCGAGATTGTTCACTTCTACCGGATCGTTTGATCAGACGGAGAATGAGAACAAAATCACTACCAGTCCACGCAGGCGAAGACGACTTCCTCTGTCCGCTAGCTTGAACGATCAGCATAATATCACAGCAAACAGTTCCCCCAACCGGCAGTTAAATGCTTTCAAGGTGAGCTTTTTGTTATGTAATAGCCCGATTGTTTGGTTCATGTATATAAGGGCTATCGAACGGAACAGCTGAGTTTATAAGTAACTGTTTACTCGATCATCCGGTCGCCTGTACATCGAGTTTGATTAGCATCAGCGGGTTTGTTCCACCAATTTTAAGCACAATCCGGATCGCGTTTTGTTATCCAACTAGAATTCTTTCACAAACGCATTAATTTTGTTAGTAAGCCTATTTATTCTTTCAGGAAAACTGAGACGACAAAGGATAATAATCTTAGACATTAAGGAATGTGATCATGTTTTTGTCAGACGCATACTCCATGTCGGAGTGGTGGCAATCAGGCGGTTTAATTTACTGTTACTGGCGTACTTCGCGTTTTAATGTTTGAGGTTCGAACCATGCCATCGCCACTTGAATTTAATGGTAAGCAACTTTGTCATCGCTCTGCTCAATGCCACGTCCATCCTATCGGTGCTTTGTGAGGCTCTCCACTCCAGTCTTCAGTCCTTATCTTGATTAAACGGTAGGTCCTCGTCACTATGGTGTTTGTCCGTTTTGTAGTTCATCAAAAAAGGTGTGTAGTGAGAGTATCTTGCTTTACAACTCGCTTCCTTCAGTTGTCAACTTACCTTCAGGATGAACCGAAGATGCTGGTCGTCAAAGATCTTCAATTGTCTGATATTCTCAATCCTTAATGGTCAGTTTTCACAGCCGTGTGGTATGACCGATCAGAATTTTGTAAAAAACACCCTGAACTTGATTTTAAGACTGATTTCAGTGCCAGAGTGTTTAGGGGCTGCGGAAAATCCGTCTGAGTCGTGTCAATGCTTTGCTTGACGCTACTTTCAACTTTTCCACTGATCAGAGTAGTGTGGTCAAGGTGTTTGAAGTCCGGGACATATTGTATTTTTCTCTGATTTAGTTTCAGGGCTCATCCCGCACGACAATTTTACTGTTGCTAAGTGTGATCCCTAGACTATCCTCGGGAACGTGTCACTCGATGCGTCCACTTGAAAGGTAATAAGATCCTTCCCGAGCACTGCAACATTGTCACTGGATTCCAGATAGGTGATATTGCAGTCTACCGAAGCGTGGATCCAACGGTAGTTCTTCATTCTGTGACGCATAATCCAATTGACAGTAAAGTGGAATAATCCGGACATTTTCGTTGTACCCCTCGTCACTGCAGGTACCGATGGAGCCTTTGCACTGACATCGTGAATCGTTTCACTTTTAGTCTGGAGTTTCTTTAATATAGATGTAAAGTGATCATGTTAAATAGGTACTTGCAAAGGCAACTGTGAATGCCTCTCAAACCATCACATCGAACGTGGATCATCACCCTCTCCAAATATAGTTCAGTCAATGTGATGTTCATCATACCTGTAGTCGTCTCTGAAGAGTCTGACACATCTACTTCTGTGCGAAAAATTCAGTTAGTGGAGTGCTACCTACACAATATTTGTGTTTTTTTAATTTCATGTATGTAACCTCAGATGATGCTAGTTTTGAAAAAAAAATAAAAAAATAAAAGCTTTCTCGAAAGACTAGTTTATGTCTCTCAAAATGTTAAACTTGGTAGTTTCGGTCGGTTTTCGGTTTCTTTATCTATTTTTCATTAGGCTGAATTCTTGAATTACCCAACTTCATTTTGTTTTCCAACCGCACTCGTTTGTTTGTTATTTGGCGTTTATGATTGAACTTTTGCGCTTAAACGCTTTACGATTGTTGGCTCTATGTTCTCATCACCACTTGAACCTCGCCAGTACGAGCCTCAGGCATTTTAGCTGTTGGTACACCACTTGTCGTCCGCCACCCGCGATTCAGTGATGAACGCAGCTCCACCGTATTGTCATAAGCCATAAATGGTGGGGTTGTATACAACACTACGGATCGTACTGGAGCATTCCCTTTGAATCAGTTAACATATTAGTCTGCACTAAGCTGACCATATTCTTCGGTGGGGGTTCGATACGTAAGGCACAACGACGGTTAGATTGCGGTAAGTTGTCTCAGACAGCATGCTCATCTGTCTTTCAATACGTGCTATCTGGAAAGCGATAACCATCCCATCTGATAACATCAATCGGTACTGAAGGATGCTTTTCATTCTGATTACCAACTTAGTTTAGTTTGACACATCGTGTCGTGACACCACTGAATGTCTGCGCCGATCGGCACTGGCCTGTAACATGCACAACAAAACACGACTCGTAACGGGGCGTAAACTCAACCACAGGACTTTAAGTAAGGTCCCAGTAACATCAAGCTGTTGGCATCCGTCATTCTTCACAGATTGTACAATATACAGGAGAAACAGAGCCATGTGGACCATGTTGGGTTTCGCTTTCATCTTGAATGCATTGATCAAACCTTCACCCTCAGAGATTTACTGAAGCATCCGTCATGCTTTCCAAAGACCAATGATCATTGTGTTCTAAGACATCCTTCGTGGTTTTTGACTCCATCTACAGGACCGCACTATGGAGCTGTTCGTTGAGAAGTGGAATACGTGAGAAATATTTGTCCATCCTTAAACAGGTGTATCGATACCTCAGGTTGGGTTAGGACCTGTGACCAGCTTTTGTCACCTTTTGCCTTCGATAATGAGGTTCAGCAAAACTGTCCTATATACCCATTGCTCTTCAACTTTGCCCTAAAGAGTGTTCTGCAGAATACTTTGCAGCAAACGGTGCAGTTGAACTCCTCCCAAGAAACAGAGTTCTTGGTTTGGAATATGCCGATAGCATCGCCTTGTTGGGCGACAGTACACGGGCAGTCCAGCCTGCTTTAAAACGCTTAGCGATTGAGGTGTGATATGTATTTTCCACTATCTAAGTGCAAAGTGCTTCTTCAAGACCGGCAGTAGTCCGTAACTGCACTCACCTTTGTGGCTAACAGCTAGAAGCAGTGGATAGCTTTAATTATCTCGAGAGCTTGTTCGCAGCTGGAGGTTGTGTTGGGAAGGAAATGACATCATGAATGGCAAAAGTTAGGGCTGCTTTTACTAACCTGCGATACCGCGCCGACATGACAACCGACTGTTTTGTTGCCTTACTGTTTCGAGGCCTGCACCTACCAGCTGATGATACTAATCAGTCACCAATATTTACAGATGCGGCGCCAAAATAACCATAAGTGTGTTTGGTACTGATAGCCGTTCTCTAAAAGAAGTAATCGCTCTACACCGCCTCCGATGCCTTGGTCACGTATAGCGTATGCCTGCCCATCATCTGCATTTTCGTGCTCTCTTTGCACGTGATGGACAAGACTAGAAGCGACGGTCGGACTATGGCCTACCGTAGGGATATGATGAAGTTGGCTACGGTCGGCGCAACCGGACTTTCAGGTTTTCGCCCAAGGGACGAGAGTTGATGATGATTGGAGACGCTGAGAGATATCGCTCAGAATAACTGCTAGTGGCGTGAATGCTGTGTGGTCTGTCTGTTCAAATTCTGTTTCCCATAAAGGTTGCAAACACTCAAACATATCAAACAGTGTACAGGGAAAAAATATTCCTGACTAATCGTGACTAATCTGTCGAATGTTACCCTCAAGCAACTTCAAAAATTAAACAAAACAGAAATAATCACCAAGATTTTTAACGCCTAATGAAGTTAAAAATGTAGCGCGTATGTATCAGAGTTCCGTCCAAATTCATGCGTTCACCTTAGTCCTGACATTTTCCTACTTCACCTGGAATTTTCCGATAATATTGTCTTCTCGAGTGATAACACCGGACTATCCATTTTGGTCATAAACGGCTCAAAACTTGTTTCAAAGGTGCTTGGCTTAGCGACTAGATTAACAAAGCCGAGGTTTTCTCCATATGTTGTACCTCTACTACAAAGTCAACAGAAACCAACGGCTAACTAGTCGAGTGGCTTTCTTTTGAAACTCTCCGAACTAGTCAGGTAAGAACTGACGTACAGAGGCGAATAGACATAGGTGTTTATACAACTTCGCCAAGAAATGTTCTGTGCTTGCAGTGAGATTACTCTTCAGACTATATTTTGCTTTCCTCGCATTGCCATGCTTCCAATACTGATTTCTGGTTGTGAAACGAGAGTGCCGCAATCGAAAATACCAGGAACCTCGAAATGTTCGGTTTGACCACCAACAAAATTTGTGCTAATAGTTTGCTTTCTCTCTCCGTGCCCGGAGTATCCTTGCCTCTACGGGAGACAGCTAAAAAATGGCCTGACCAAATTTTTTTATTGAAACTTCGGATCTCCGGTGTGTCCACCATATCGAGTGCTTAAACTAGGTCTGAATCTCAGTCTGCACCGATATCACGTCTGATCTCCCCTCGTAGGCAGCGTCTGTCTGCCATGAAGCCAGCACACACGGTTAGAGAACCTTTACCGTGAAAAGAAAATCACTTGATGCAGATTGAAATGTTCATGTGTGGGAAAACAGAGTGAACATTATCAACCGGGATTCATGAACATGAGCCAGGTGGCAAGAGGCATGATCCACTGTCACTTATACCACTCCACAAAGCTCAAGGAAGCGGCAAATCCGACTTTAATGTCCGAGCTCTCTGAAAATACGCCAGAGGATAAGTCACGGTACTTTTTGAACAATTCATTGAATAAGTGCATTGCTTCACGTACTGGTGTGACGCAACGGAACTTAGATCATATTGACCCCAGATAATGGATCAAGGCACCACCCAAAGTATGAAAAACAACTCGTCCATCATACGTCAGCGACCAACTGTAATGAGAACAATGACCAGATTGCCAAGGAATAATCAATATAGTTGAGCGGACAAAAGAAGAGCGTCGCCGTTCTACACGCACTGGAATCATCAACGCTCTCACGTTAATTGCGAATGGGCGAAAGTGAATTTCGTCTTTTTTATAGACCAATGATTAGCTCTGAGACATTTACTGACAATGAACGATTGTCCATTCCGTCCCTTTCGGTACATTCGAAAGTGACTGACTCAAGTTTCGTGGTCGTCTATCAGAAACTAAACTTACGGTCTCTTGGCTGCTTTTGTATTTTTACCAGATGCGTGTAATTTCTTAGTAATTCTGTATCAAGTGATCGTATTTTACAAGCCCGATCCCATATTTATCTCACCGTGCTGTCCGTTACAACTGAAGTCTTGGATTAACGGATTTCGCAAACGGCGCGTTCTCAGTCCTACGCGGTTCTCGGATGAACCCGAATGCCAGGCTACATATGACCTGTACGTCAGTGGTCCGCTGTCGGACGGGTTTTCCGTTGTGGACCAGAAGTCACTGGCCACGTGGCATTTTTCCGTCAATCGGCCTTTTTCCGTTTATTTCGCGGACGACGAATCAAGCCTTGCCGGTATTCCCTCCGATTCTGTGTTATCGACCGATCCGGAGCAAAGAAAGCTCTGGGCTTGGACACATAGCCGTCTGTTGTTGTACGTGATAAACAGTCATTCGTTCAGTTTATCCACGATGATGGAAGTAAGTTTTGTGTCTCCATTTGTGTCCGTCCTCACATTGCTCGACTTAAAACCCTGCCCGACCTTCTCATCATTTTGAGAAAATTGTTTTGATGTTAACGTAACCAGGAAACAGTTCCTAATGGTAGAATAGAAATTCAGGTTACGTCGACAGTTTTTGTTGAAATGAAGAAACCCTACTTTGCTTCTCCTCCTTTATTAAGAGGGACCCATGTAGCCGAGGATTGATTCAGCATCAGAATCGTCATTGATGATCCCGTCAGTGCAACAGTTGCATTCTCATCCCATTAAACAGAGAATCTCTCCTGCCGATGAACCTACTAAATTTTAAGCAAAACGGATACAGCTTATAGTAAAATTACTTATTTTTTAAGCACCCAAGAGTGTATTAACCATTTTTAAATTAAACTATATAGAAATACAATCATTTGTTTGATGAATTGTGTTGCTGCAAGCAAGATGTTACTGTCATTTTCAGCATGGAGGTTGGTATGTGCACACAGAGATAATAGACTTTCTGGGACTCATGCATTTCATTTATTTTCTCCCCGACGCCAGCGTAAAAAAATATGAATTATATATAATGTAGAATAAACGGAAAAGTGGAACTGGGTGTACCCGACGTCTGTTAATTTACAACGGTGTAGTTCAAGGGATGGGGTGGGGGTGGTTGGTTGATACAGTGTACCTAGCACGGAGACATGTTGATAATATGCGTCAGCTATTTTACGCCCACAGGGCTAGTCTGTATAGTGTAGTTCGTATGCCATCATAATATACCAACAGCTTTGGATCATGATAACCTAAGATGAACTTGTACGCTTGTTTGAGTTCGACTTGATAGCCTATTATTTTTAAAAATTATCTGCATTGATTTTCTTTGGGGCATTGAAAGCCTCAGCATGGTCCGAGATGGGTGTCTCAGGATGTAGCCGGTTACCCTTCCTTTGCACTATGCGAAATACCCCTACAAAAACACGTCTCTATCAGCCTCTGCTGACAAAACCCCTACTCACTGCCTTCACGTCGCGGATGTGTTTTCCTACCAAGGGGAAAAGACGAAAAGCCAACATCCGGGGCTATGAACGGGTCGGTGAAGCACTGGCAGCACACTTAAGGGAATTAGTAGAAAAAGTGGATTCCAAAACAACTAAGACGAGGCGTATAAACCAAATTATATCTTTTTGGTAGTGGTCACGGGCTTGATTAGGCATCGAGGTGTCTTGAGCACTGTGAGTGTTTAACCTCGTCTACCAAAGAGCGTCTGATTCTATGGACTGGACACCAACCTCAAATGAACTGTGACTTTAACACAGTGCCCCGCCGCCTTGCGGATCAGGTTTTGGTTAGCCGGTGGCTTCGGCTGTAAAACGCAAGAAAATTCACCTGCTTTGGTCTGAGCAACCAGACAGTATTCCGCTACAGGCAAATCACGGACTTATTTCTATGTTATAATGTCTTCTGTACCTTAATATGTTTGGCTTGCAGTCTAGACTCAGGTAAATGTGAATCTTAATAAACATACTAATTTTATTAATCCCTTTAACCTGTGTTCCACCACTTGTTAGACCGGGCATCTGTCCGTTAAAAGTATGCATATATTGTCACAACTGCTGAATTAGCAGACCAGCTGAGAGATATTTTGATGCAGGTAGTTCTAAGCCTTTTGTTCGGCTCGCAACCGGGTCACCGTGTATGTCCATTTTGGTTAGGGCCGATTCC